TCACCTACACAAGACCCTCTAGTTGTGCTTGGTGAGTCAACACATGGTTGAAGCAGAGCTGGCAACTGTTGTAATGAGTGGAAAAAAGGCCCACTAGCATTGTGTGGTGTAAACCCTGTAGGTGACATCACTGGTGGTGGATAAGCAAAATGACGTAGGGAGAGAATAATGCTCATCAGACATCCAGTCATTCCTCGTCTTTGGCATGAGGTCACTCCTTGGCTGTTTAATCTGTTCAAACAGTGCTGCTGTTGTCTGTTTAGAATGGTGCATTAGCATTCTCATTTCCTTAAAAATGTGTGGTTCAAAGAGATCTTGCCTTTCAGCTCTGACTGTAACCACTTTTGGCAGTACCACTGGTTGTTGCTCACCATGCAGGGGCTTTTTCCTAGTTGAAGGACCTCTTCCCTGTCCTCTCATTTCTTCAGTTCTAGTACCAGTTCTACACAGGCATTGTAATCCCATGCCTCCATAAAGAAAGGAAGTTTGTTCACACATCATTCCAAATCGTTAGAGGCTGTATATATATAATTTTATTTTTTAAAAACCTTGCATTTTTCCCAGATTCTCCAGCTGTCCTATGTTTGCTTCCCTGCTATTGTTTGATTAAAGTTTTAGTTACTTTCATCTGCCTTTTTGTGTCATTTGCACTTGGGTCCTCATCTGAACACGCTGTGACATTATTGTGAACCATGTGAGAAGTTTAGAAGGTGAACCAATATTTCATGCAACTGCCAACTTCTGTGACAACGAGACACTGTTTTGGTAACTTGTATGGATGGTTGTGAACCACAGACTTATTCTGTGACAGTGGATATTTCATGAGTTTGTGTGTAAAAATGTTAATGTCAAAATCTTGATCTTAAAGATAGCCACGACTGTCAAATAAAAGTAGATTTCCCTCCAGCTACAGTTTTATCTGTATCTCGCTGTTATCCTTTTCTATCTCCCTTGTAAGCTCACCCCAACTAGTGGAGGCAGATGGCTGAGCCTGGTTCAGCGGAAAGTTTCTTCTTGTTAAAGGCAAGTTTTGTTTATTGTTTTTCTTCTCACTGTTAGAGGGAATAGTTTGGATTTGTTTGTCATCACTAGGCAGTCTTGTCTGCCTAGTGATGACAAACCATAAATAAAACTAAATTGAATTATAGTTGAATTTACTTCTTTTTTTCCCCAACATTGCTGTTTTTTTTGTTTTTTTAAAAAAAATTAAATTTACTTATTTATTTTAATTCTCCAATTGTCTTTGGGGTCACTTTGACCCAATTCAATATTTGACAACTCTAAATAAGTTACTGACGTATTTTTTTTTCCAGGTTTATTTAAAGGGCTATTTACACACAAACTTGGTTTACAATTTTAATTATGATATTTTCTGGAGGTTTAAATTGCTGGGGTCAAATTGAACCCAAGGATAAAAGATGTCAGTAAATTTGAAGGTAATCGGAGGGTTAAATATAGTAAGCAAATAATACTAATAACTGAAGTGACAGATTTTCTACCAAAAATGTGCTTTTTGGACTAAATTGCTGCTTTATGACTAAAAGATGCTCATATACTGTATACTGCTTATTGTTAAGTAAAAATGAAAGTGTTCATACATATAAATTATATTGCATTAGCCCCTTTGGAGGAACTGGATGGAAAGCAGCAGGGTTCATGACACGAGGAAGTTTGGGGAGTGATGGAGACTCGAGCCAGCCAATCCGTGCGCGGTGGGCGGGGTTACGCACGGCGCGCTCACCTCACTGCCAAGCCGGCTGACAGCCTCCAGTGGTAATCCTACACTGGATGTCGGTAGGTGTAATATTGACTGACATTGGAGTTTACAGCAGCTGTTCTGTCGGTGTTTCCTCCTCTGAGTGTTTATCGATATCCCTGTGTGCCACACAGCCTGCGGAGAGAAAGTCCTCGGCTCGCTCGGACTGTCGGGGGGCCATGGAACCTCTGCGGAAGGAGGCAAAGGATAATCCGTCGGCTTCAGCTAATCTTCTCTCCAAGATTTTCTTCTGGTAAGAAAAAACCGGCCTCACACCGACAGCTTTGTGTGACATTAATTGAATGGAGAGGCTCTCCCGTGTGACAGTTTTGCGGCCACTCGAGAAAGCCTCGTCCCTGGATGTGATAGCAGGTAGCAGCCGAGCATCAGTCCGTGCACAGAGCACACTTCTGCTGCCTGCAGGAGAGAGACACAGAGTTAGGCTGTGTGGAATAAGTTTATTACAGGAAATAGAAAAGTGAGAGTGCAGAAAAGTGAAAGTAGCTGTGCTCCAGAAGTCCTTTCTTAAAATGTCAGAAAGACACAAATTGTATTGACTCAGTTAAAGTGAATCATTCTTTGTTAAATGGTGTTTTTAACTTTAATTTAATTTAATATGTCCCCTTTATGTGTAAACTTTTACAATGTCTTGTTATCCTGTTATCTTTATTAGGGATTTTAAAGCTTTCAGATAATCAGGTCAAGACTGATTTTATAGCTTATGAGAGGATGATTTTTAGACAGTAATGTTTGATATATAACTATATTCTACTGTTTTATCTCATGAGGAACATTCATTGACAACTGATAAATGTAAATAATAATAATGCTGAATGTACCTTCCAACATCTTGCTCGTCTATTCACTGTTTCAGAGCCATGCTGCATTTATTTTATTGATCCAGTATTTTTTATTTTCCTCTGCTCTGTGGAAACGCTGCCTGCAGTTCACTTGAAATCTCAGATTTTTTTTGTGTTGCTTACAGTTGTGTCAGTCATGGCTTCTTAATTGAACTAAGGGATATAGTGGTATTTTTTTTTTTTGCCAAACACACAACTGCACATTGTGTAACTTTAAAATTTTTAATAATAATAAAAGTTTAACGTTTACCTCTGACTTGTTATGGAGTGAAAGAATGACTACTCTATCCA